TGATCTTAAATGCTCCCCACACCCCATGCATTACACAATGTTGATCTAAGACTTAATTCCACTGATATCTAGGATTGAGGTTCCAGCCAAAACATACCTAATACTCCTTTTAATTTACAGTTTCTTAATCTGCCTTTAGAAATGTATTTTCACCTTTCAAATCCATTTTAACTTAGTTTAAATAAGAATATTAAGCTTTAAGTTCTAGTTTTGAGCTATTTCAATTCCCTTAGCAGGCAAAGAAATCCTGTCTCAATAAAAGACAGCTGCCCTTAAAATAAAATTGAGTTTCTTGTGATCTAAATAGTCTTAATACTAGAAAGAAGGTGGGCAATAAGCAAGACTATTATTAATTGATTCTCTAACCATAATTGTACAGACAGTTAACAGAACCATCCTCTTACTCAACTAAAGTGGCACTTGACAGTCAAGTAGGAAAAACTCCATGCTTCATCTAGAAGTGTCTAAATGTGAAACACTAGCACATTACATTTGCTAAACAAAAGCATTAAATAAGATGTTCGACAGTTTTCTTTTACCATAAAACCCAGCAAAGATTAGTATATGCGACCAAGATTGCTACTCCTTCAAGAGCAAATAGGCAAGTTCTAGATTTATTGCAATGCAGAGTCTGTACAAAAACAGCAACCACGCTGTATTCCAAGTCCTTTTACACACTGAAATTCATACTAAAAAGTATAGCCATAATAAGGGTTATTAGTGCTAACTGTGGTCAAGTGTTGAGACATTAAGTTTAGATACAGGTTGACCTCAGTTATGTTGAGTTCAACAAATCCCTGAAGACAAATCCATCACAGCTACAACAGTTTTATCAACTTGCAAGACAAATATCAGAAGCCAGTCCTACGTTATTTAATCTAGGTGGTAGTCAACCAGGTGCTTCCTATAAAAGCTGCAAAAGCCACAGGAGCAGAGACCAATGAGCTCAAAGCCGAAAAGCTTCTGGAAATAACAGTTATCTGTTCTGACTTTGGCCAAGTTTCAAGCTGAGAAGTTAGAGCAGCACCCTGAAGGCCCAGCAGCGTGGAAGTCAGCTGCTTACAGCTGCACAAGAATTCCTCTGGTTTTGGGGAACATACAGGTGAAAAACAGAGCTGCCTCTACAGTGAGCATCATGCTCACTTAAGGTTTTTTTTGTGTAAAACGTAAACTGAAGCTTCATCAGTTAAAGATAATATATGTCAAATGCAGGAGAGTAGCATACAGGTCTACAAAGGTTCAAGCAAATGTAGAAACCAGCCAAAAACTAAGAACAGTTTAGTATTCCGTCATTTTTAAGCCCCTTGCCATGAATTTCCTAAGGGCAGCTTAGGCTTCTAACCTAAAATAAGTCATTACTGATCTACAGAGACAAACACTGTTTAGAAACCATTTCCTCTGAAGAAAACTCAATTAAATGAGTACAGGAACAGGTAAGAGGCAAGTGAAGAGAACACTCAAGAGCTTTTCTTGAGAGCATCAGCTCAGCCAGATAGTGACAAGATTTCATTTAAGACTAAACATAGCTACAAGCCCAAAATAAAAGCATAGGAGAGACTTCAGAGCAGCATGCTAAATTTTAGTACGAAAACAAATGCCTGCCTGCTGTTGGAAGTCCATTCGATTAATAAGCTCTAACAGACTTTAGAGAGAAGACAACCTAAAGGCATATTCTTTGCATGACCGCGATTAATAAGCTCTAACAGACTTTAGAGAGAGAAGACAACCTACAGGCATATTCTTTGCATGACCAAGTGCTCTTCACTCCTAATCCAGAGCAACAGAAGTTACAGGTAGAAAAGGAGTTTATTACCTTCATATTGAGGCTTCACAAGATCCAGCATCTGGCACAAACAGTCTTCAAATGGCAAAGGTTCTATGGCCATGTTATCTAATTTTTGGCACTGTTCTTCATAAAAATACTCCAATTCATACATAGACAAAGCGCCATCCCCATCAAGATCCATGCAGCGAAACCAGTATTCAATGCTGAAATTCAGTAACATTAAAGAACTGTTTACACAAACTTGCAGAATTTCAACAGTTTTTGTTGCCTATTTTAAAGGCTACGCTACTTACAGATGCAAAACCAGACCTAAAACTACATTCCGTAGTGCCATAGAAAGTCATTAAACATCACCTACCGCGGTAAGGGTTTCTGGTATTTGCCATGCCACGCATTACTGCATTTGAAGACACACTTGTTAATTGAGTGGGCGGAGGAGGAGAGGACTAAAAGATGTGGGTTTGCATAAAAGCTCAAGGGAGCCAATGAAACATTGAACTTTGCATCAAAACCCAAGCTCTTTTTTCCATATTGAACAAGCCACTGACATGTCATACAATATGTTTCTTATCAATCTCCTAGCTGTATAGTTTCCTAAAGTCACTGGCATCATGACACAAACTGCAGTTGCCTTTATCTGTGACCCTGTCTATAAGCAGGCCACACACACCATATGGAACAGTAACATTTAATTAGCCTCTTAAAAGTTATTCAAACAGACTTCTACAGCAACATGAAACACTGATAAATAAGAATGATGCAATGAACTGGGCCGGTTTTCCACTCATGTTTTTGTAGTTTAGCTTCTTCCAGCAGAGTTCCAGCTGAGCATCAGCAGTCCCCCTTTAAGGGCTGGAAAACCAAAAAAGTCAGTCTTCATTTCTGTTAAAACAAATTCATTCTTACCTAGTTGGTGTCTTCTTGTCCTCTTCAGATATCAAAAACCAGACAAAATCAGCGTAGCTAATTTTCCCATCTTTTTGTGCTTTTCTACCTCTTGAAGGCCAATGAGGAAAAAGACAGAAAATTTATTTTAAAATACCTAGCTTTTACTAAAGAAAATCAAGGATTATTTGTGCTACTAACTATTTACTCCTAAACGATGCTGTGTTCATAAGGCGACCTGTCACAGACTACTTTGATCATTCAGGATAAGGAGCTTGTGTGCTCTGTTCTGTTTCTACTGCAGTCGGTAATAAGGAAGGGAGCAGCTGGAAGAGAAAGGAAGGGAACACGCTGTCCAGAAGAACTTACAGCTTTCCTTCCTGGGCAGCAATACCCCTGCTTAATTGTTAATAGAAGAGATATCTTCAATTTTTAAAAAATACATTATATACAAATACACACGCTTTTTAGAATTTCTGTTCAGGTAGAAGTGATGAGAACTTAAAGCTCTACAGAACTCCACTAGCTGAAAGTGTTGTAATGGAAATCTGAAGACAAAAGTGAAATAAAAATATTCAGGAAGTGCTCATGGCAAGAACATAGTTGTCTGTTTCTACTCTCATACCACAGAACACAGCATCCAAATATGTTCTGAAGACACATGGTCAACCTGTCCAGTAAAAAGTCAGGTAGGCAGTTCCCAAACATATTACATTTAATTCCTAAAATCCAGTTTTTGCTGTCTTATCCTCACGACGTCTAGAAAAATACGGTATATGTTTTGTCATACCCAAAAAACTTGCATAAAGGAGTAAGCTCTAGACATATGCCTGCCAAGTGTCATTTCACTCATTTCAGCTTGTTATTTCTGTTTATCAGTCGCTTTCTAGCTGCAGATATTGTGCTAGCAAAATGTTTCAAAAATGAGTAAAATGCCATAAATGCACAAGAGGAAGTCAATCCAAGTGGGAAAAAAGAAGAATAACTGTCAAAAATGTGAATTAACTCAACTGGAGGCATTTCTGTAAATTTGTTGATGTGGTAAGCATTGATTCCACAAGTAGTACTGAAAAGCCGAATTCCCTTCGAAAATTTTACAGGTTTGAGGGATGGAAAAACAATAATGCCAACATTTCTTCCCTTCCTTATTCCCATCCCTGCTAAACCACATGATATCCAACAGCAAGGTTCATACAAGTAAAGAAAGGAGAGTAAAAACTTGGACTGAGCCAAAGGTTCCAAGAGCACTCTAGTACTACCAGAGTTTAAACTGCAATACTGAACCTTGAAATTCACTGCTCCATTTCAAGGGGAAGGCATTTTTTTTCCTGAAAATGTCACACAATTTAGCAAGCAAATACTAAATTGGATTTAGATCGGCATACAAAATAAGTACCTTGTTACTGCTCCTGAGAAGATCCGCTCTATCATCCTACTTGAAATTGCTGTGAAGCAAGGTTTAAAATAGTGTCAGTTATATGTAAGTTATTTTTGCTTTGTATTATCTAGTTGAAGAGTTTACTGGAACCCCCTTATATATACAGATCTGTGAGTATGATCAAGTGTAGCGCTCATTAATCCCTTTCAGTCCTCTTGGAGAAAATCACTTAACAGTTTTCAAAGCAAAGCTAGGAACAACCAGCTTTGAATGCAGACTTGGTGGAGAAAATAGCAGTGTAATAAAGGTAATAAAATCAGCTGATTAATACGACAGCATTAACCAGTTCTTTGACAAGTAAATCATGTTTTCAAGTGCCATTACATTTTATGTGACCTTGGCAAAGAGCCAAAATAGAATTGGCATGTTCACACGTAATGAGCATACCAAACTGATTCTGACATGGGTCTATTTCTGACATGGTTCTGACCCATGCTTCTATTTTGAAACCATTTCAGGGATTTTTAGAGACACGTCTTAACCAAGCACTACCTCTGTAACGGATACTCAATTTATCCTGAAGAATTTGTGGAGGGTACTCAAAGCAGCACATGATACTACACTTGCAGGAGAATTAGTTCTCATTATTCCAGCTCTAAAACGCTTTTTCAGCATTGTAGAAATACTGATAATTAAAGCAGGTGGTTAACCATTCAAATAGTTCACCTGTTTGATGCACTTACGGTGATGCTATCACCATGTTATTCTACTAAGAACACTAGAACACTTAATATTTATCCCCAGAACTGTAGGACAGCCAGTTTGTTTCAGACATATGTGGTGCTGCTTTTTCTTATCTACTTTCAAATCACTGAAGTTGTTCAACCTTCTCAACAACAGCTACACACTTTAATATTTTTTTTATTACATACAAGTGTTTGATCTAGCCTAATTTTAGACCAGTGACAGTACGAAAGGGATTGATGAAACCAGATTAGCCAATTCTGACATGCAAAAAAAATAAAAGTTTAAGACTAAAGTTGGGTTATCATACCCATTTTATGCTCTAATTTAGTCTAGTTCTCATTAAACAGCAGCTGTTAAGCTTTAACCAATATTCCATGGTTTAAAGGATGCAAAACTAAACTGGAAGTGACACTGTATCAGTGCTGCTTCCTTTCTATAGTGTACTACCTCAGTAGAGCAACGACTCAAACGAAAGCAGCTTCACTTCCTCAGTGTCCTAAAGCATAGTCAGACTTCAGCAAGCAAATTTTCAGAAGCAATCAATCAGAATTGTGTTTATTTTTTTTAGTGTGGGATAATATTCCATAATCACTTCATGCTTAAGTAAGCTTTCCAGTTCTGAAGGGAATACTTTTAAGATGACAATAGGCACAAAGCATCCAAAAAACCCAACAGTTTCATACAATCTACAAGAATATTTAAAATAGGTACGTGTGCAAGACTACAGAATGACACGTCACTGAATATGGTGAATGCAGAAAATTTAAAGCTGCTAATTAGTATTAAAACAAAACTTACTGCAGCTGAGTTAGCAAAATTTTAAAACAAGCAACGTACCCAAATGCACGTTTGCCTTTTTCTGCTCTTTCCATACCTTGCCATAAAGGCCATGCTACTTGAATAATATCAGTGGAATGGATTGTTTCCAAGATAACAACCCAAAACCACCAGTGCAGCCATTTATAACATACCACAACCTAAGTGATTTTTTCCTCTACTTCTTTGCCAAGATCAGAATTCAAGTTCAGAATTTTCCTCAAATTTGGTATCGCTAAGACACAAAGCAGCGTCACAGATGACTTGTCCTGCTTTATTTCACTGAGTCAGCAGGATTAGCTGTACCGACAGACTCACGAACACTGGCCTTGGCCGTTAACCACTTCCTCAGTTGAAAGTTTACAGGTCATTTAATACATGTAAACACAAGGCGCTTCATTTGTCATACCATGATCATTATGTCGAGCTAAATCCTTCCGATCAATATAGAGGTCATGGTCTGTATCCAGCTCCCAAAATTTGCAATAGATAACATAAAAATGTTCATATGAGAAGTATTCTGTCAGCTGGTTAATATCAGCTTCCTCTTCCAATAATGCCACATTCTATTATCAGAAGGATAAATAGAACACATTAAAGAATTTGTAAGACATTTGTTGAATGATCAGAGGTTCTCATAACCAAGTTAATATCTAATGGTATTTCAGCGGAACAATGCACACCATGCAGCATGACAGCAAAGACTGAACCCACAAGGTAGAAAGCTAATGCATCCACAGAAGAATGAGGAGATCAGCCGGACTTCTGCTAAACATATATGCATATATACAGCTCTAGATAAAAGATGACATTTAAACATACTCTGTTGTATGAGAACTAAATGCAATGGAAGTTTTCGGAAAAGGAAGAAATGCTACTTATGTTACTCCCTTAAGAATTTAACTAATGCTGATTTAAAACTTGTAGAAACATCTGTCTTGCAACATTTTAGATATTATGTACCTGCAAAAAGTTGCTTTTCCTGAGCTCGTTACAAGTTATTTTCCCAGACCAGGACCTATTTACTGTGTAAAATATTCTCTGTATAACCTGCAAGAAACAGAAAATGGAAAGGTGATCTTGGGTATGCTAACCAAATACCCTCCCAAACATTTGTCAAAGATAAGCCTCAGCTCAGCTGCATTACAAAACTCCATCTTCCCCTATTTTTATTATTCTCATTACTTAGCAGATTGATGCTTCTCTATGTCACATGAACAAAACATTCTAAATCTATGTCTAAACTCATCTTGATAAGTCTTATTTCAATGCTGCGGTACCCAGAAGTCACACAGTTGCAGAATACTCGTATGCTATCCAGAATACGTCTATTGGCAATTTTAGTACCTCCCAGTCTTCCAGGCCTACAGGATATAATCTAATAAACCTATTAATATGTCTCATTATTTCAGATTTAAAGACCTATATTTACTATAAGAATATTTTACTTCGTAAATGTAGATACGAAATAGAATTGGGACTGTTTAAGGATCAGAGTACAGAGGGATATTATTTTGCTAAACTCATGCATTCAGCGTAATTTGCTTAGCTTTAGTTTACAAACAAAAGGCTTTAAAACAGATTTTTTTCTGTTTCTTAACTAAATTCAGTATTCACCTCAGTTTGACTTAAGTCAACCAGATATAGATTTCAAGTCAGTTGTTCACCACTAACAAAAGCAGACAAAATAATATAAACATATTATGAACTATAACTGCTTAATTGGAGATTGATTATACCAGCTAATTAGCAAGACTAAATATTGCATATGTAGCATTTAATTTGCACCACAGTAGTTACTAGCTAAAAAGCCCCATCTCTTTAGGAACCGTTTCGCCCCGAATAAAACCTCTTCTCAACTAAATTAAATAATTAAGTTTTTATCACTTCAGACTTCAATTGCAGTAAATCAATAGTTTAAACAAACCAGTCATTTCTAAATTACAAATAGAAGAGTAATTTATTCACAAAGTTTTAAAACAAGTCTTAAACTGTAGCATGCAGCAAGCTCTACAGCTCTTATTTTGAAGAAGAACAGCTGGTTCAATAAATCCAGAAATCGGAATAGACTAGCCTACTTCTGAAACTTAATTAGCTTAATTCTAATTGTAAGTTTAGGGAAGGCCCATTTTTGGCTTATACTACAAAGCAATTTTTTCTAAAAAGGTTTTTGCCTTAGCTTTGCAACTTAATCCATCTGCATGTCATTATCTCATCTGTTACACATTTAACTGGTCTAAAAATAAAACCAAAATTGAATGTTTGCTAAAGACAACTGGGAACAGACTTAAAACCCAGTTTTCTAAAGTGAATTGAAGCAGAGTATAAGCAAATTGTCACATAATTGTCGTCTTTACTATGCTGCACAGTGGTTTGTCACAAGGGAGAGGAAATGGGGCAATACAGAGATTACAACTTCAAGAACTCAGCGTTCAGACACATACATTACATCCTTGCAGATTAAATGCAATCTCTCATTTGTCAGGGCAAATGTTTTTCATATATTTCAGCTTTATTTTGGATATACGTACCTAACCTTACCATTAGACAGACCAACCAACATATACTATAGCCTAGCAGACAGAACTGATTGCTTCCATGGTCGAATAACACTTACAAGACACTTGCTTCACTCAAGAGATGTATGTAATGTACATATGCACACGCATATATGTACATAGTTATCTACAAACTCACACAGCAGAAGAATGGATCATTTAATTTGTAACGAAGTCAGCATGAACAGACATTAAATCTTAACTGCAGTGCTTACAAAATCCATTAGATAAAGCTTCATGTAGGAGAGTAAAGCTAATTGAATACAGGTATGAAATGCCTTATTTCATTTTAGAGAATACAACCTATAATTACTAGCAATAACTTGCAGGACAGAATTTTAGAATACTGTATTGGGCAACAGTTACTCCATCCTAAATTATAACAAGAAAGGACAGAGTCCTCCTACTATTTCTTGATCTGCAGAATAGTATTCCAAATATTATTGCTATATTCATAGAAATACTAGTTTACTTTGGGATTTTTGATTAAACACTGATTTCTGTTGAAGACTACACTAAATTTTGTCAGTAAAGTACTGCCAGTGCCAATTTATTCAATATTGCTAGACTCAGGCCTACTCAAATAAGCTGTTCCTCTAAAAGAAATGTAACTGGAAATGGCAGGACCTTTTCCCTCCTACAGTCCTTCAGGAAGGCAGCAAGCTTCCACAATTTTAAGCAGAGCAGGCTTTGATACAACCCAGAATTCATTAAGAAAGAAAACTACTCACAGGCAGAACATTTCCTTCAGTCACATCTGACAAGTAAGTTCTGGGAGCTCACAATCATTATAACAAGAAGCAAAACCTAATGCAGCAGGACATACTTGATAGGCCAGCAAGTCTCTAAGAAGGATATGAGGAACCAAAACCAAATCCTTTCAAAAAAGCTTCCAGTTTCGGTCTGGGTCAAACTGTACACTGGATAAAAGATGATCAACTCTGCATGTTTTTTGTTGGAGAATATTCATTATGCTATTTTTCACATGCACAAGGAAAGTGAACTGAATGTCATTTTGAAGACTTTTGAGACTTCAATGGAATCTGCTGTCTAGTCTACAGTTGAGAAAATTTAATGTCACTGATTTTTCCCTTGGGTACAGAAAGAATACTTCAGTCACATAACCCTAGGAAGAGAGAAATGGAACTTTTCATGTGTAAAACCTGCTTAGAAAGAAAAATCCCCAGAGATGAAAGTGGCAAGCAGCTTCAACGTTATCATTATTTTACTTAATACTGAACATAATCACGTTAATACAGACCACTCATTCAAAATTCCATTTAATTAATCCCAGAGTAAGGTCAGGATTCTAATGAGTACAATCTATAGCCACAATCAAGTGTTTAAGATAACAGTCTGCTCTTCCTTTAATGTTCATTAACTCTAACAATTCAGTGTTTCCTTTACTAGTATTAAGGTAATCATTTTGATTTTCCTGCTTTGTTAACCAAAAATAGCTTTTCCAAACACAAATCACTTACTGTGGTGATGTACCGAGAATGAAATTCAGATGCTTCTTTTAAAAATGATAGGCCAGGATGACTATTCACCACATCCTACAAAAAAAAAAGAATAACAATATCCCAAACAGTACTCATTAGTGACAATATAAAACCATTAGCACAGAATAGCACATCTGCTTTAACCAAAACAGTTTAAATTAACTACCACAATCATTAATGATAACTTTATTTACAACATGCTTCATGTGAATAACACTGCTCACTCTTTAAAAATGAAACTATCTTTTAAAGAAGCCAGATAAACAAAAGCTTTCCCATATTTTAGGTAGGCTGAAGATTTTGAACACTGATGACAGTTCTAGCTTGTAATTCTCTGGCTGACTGATTCAGTAAGAACCAATTTAGGGTTTAATCATTCATTAGTTAAGGTGGTGTTTGGCATTCAGAGGAACTGTATTAGGTCTTGAATTCACATGTCACTTTTCCTCTGCCATCCAAAGGCCCTCCCTGACTTCAAAAACTTCAGCTGCCTGTCTAAACCGTAAGGATTCTCCGATATATGTGCTACTCCTGCAAGCAATTTTAAATTCATGCATCTTACTGTAGCTCTTAAAAAAAGACTTCTCCTTATTAAAAATTATTAACTGTAAAAGAAGTCACTCACTAGCACCTCAGTGGAACACACAAAGTGAGTTACACAAATATTGTCAATAAACTTTAATGAAAAAGTATATTTCACTCTAAAAAAATTCAGGGCTTTGCCAGGTAATCATTTTGTGTTTCTGGAACTAGTTTCAGTTGCAATTTACTTGTAAAAAAGGAATGAAGTCTTCTTGCACCAAGTAGTTGCATCCAGGGTTCATTAGAAGATGAACAAACTTTGCAGCATCATCATAGCAGGTCTGAAGTATTCTGAAATGTAAATATTTCCATTTAATACTCTACATAGAAAACTGCTCATACTACCTTGTACAGGCATCCTAGAGCAAGGCCTATGAAACTGCAACCACAACATTTAATTTAAAAGCTAGTTACAAATGTTAAAGTACGCTCCAAGTGAACTTATCAAAGCAGTACTGTCCCATACATTTACGTTAAAGGAGGTGGGTACACCATGTAATTGATTACATGAAAGGACATTTTAAAGTTAGAACTGGAAGGAGAACTAGAAAGAATAAAAAGCATTTTGTCCAGAACTGGCATCTACAAGTTAGAGCCATGGTTTTCACTTTTCCCATACACAGCCAGTCATTTACCAAACATTTTAAAGTCTACAAACCCTGTAAATACAGATTTGTTTGTTTATGTTAAAGTGATGATTTAGTTACATTTTCCCAGGTACAAGTTCGCCATCAATGGCTGATTATGGGAGAGGGTTTTATTCCCCTTTACAGATTGGATCTCATTCAGAGCTTAAAATATCACATTTCAATTAAAAAAAAGCAGTACTTCTAAAAAAAGTAATCTACTTACTTCCGCCACATTGCAACAAATTTATGAACTGACACGTATCCTGTTCGTTCACCTCCAGCACAATAAAACAAAGGACCTTTCCAGTAAAGTGGGCATTCACAAGCCTAGATTCAAAGTATACATCAAGTCAGTTTATTGATTGCTTATCTGAGGGTTAATCCCTTATTTATAAATATTTCAAAAATTAAATTTTTACAAGTGTTAAGAAGAAAACATTAAGCCACAGATCTTTTTAAAACGGTTTCCAAAACCAACTGCACCTTCCAAAATAATTAATTTTATGCAACTGCTTTAGGCTGAAATCCAGAAGTAGAAAGCAAAACACAGGGCAACTTGCAGCATTCCTAACAGATGAATGCAGTCACATGTCTGCTCTGTCCACGCTCCAAGCAGCTGAAGAGAGTCCACGCTAATAATCTCTGCTAAAGGGCTGGATATCTTCAAGCTCAGCTCAAGACAGCACAAACACTTACACAGCTTCTGAACTGGAGCAAATTTACATTTGTCTGGCTCAGAGGATGGCTCAACTTGTTTGCATCCTTGCATATGCAAGGCACATCTGCTACCCAGTTTTAAGTAGTAGGCCAGCCTGCCCTCAGCAGCAGTATCTTGCTTCAGGATACCCAACAGTTACGCCTTCACAGCTTCAATGCTCCCACATATACCTACAGGGCTGCTTCTGTGTCTGCTCCAAGCTCCCTCAGTCATAACAGCTAAACACCTATCTCTTGCCTAAACCTGACTGCGACTTGAAGTAGTCAGACATGCTGGCGTACGAGAACCTCACATGGATCTCAGATAAGATTGTGAATACTGTAAGATGTGTAAGGTCACTGGAGCAAAAGGACAGCTACTTCTCATGCAATCGTTTAACCAGTACTTAAAAAAAATAAGGAAAAGTGAGTTTGATGAATACTGTCCTCAGACTAAGAGGCTTTTCCCTGTTCTTCAGGAAGGTGCCTTTCACCACTGAATTGCAGGTGCCTGGACCCTTCCACCTTTCTTGCTGAGAGGGAAGGGTATCTTCCACCTCTCCCAACTTCTAGGTAGAAAGGAGCTGTGGAAGGCTGGAATCCTATCATTCAGCTTAGTAGTTAAACACTTCTGGTGAGGCAAACAACAAGTTTCTGAACCCTCAGTCCTGCTCTTGTGAAAAGTCTTTGCTTCTAGACCCTGGACTTTAAATGCAAAGTGACAGGACAGTGACAAGAACCTGAGACTCATTATCAAGACCATGAGTTGCAGTGATATTTCAAGCATTGATTCAATATAACGAAATAGAAATTTAATTTAACTAGCTTATTGTCTGTTACACAGAAGTTTAAAAATATTTCCTGCTTCCTAAGCTCAGTATTTTGTCACTGACATAATTCTAAATTAGTTGTTCAGAAATAACTAGACGGCTATAATCTCGAGTTAGGAAACCATCCTGTCTTTCAATGTCTTTAAAATGGAGGTTCATGACACCGCTGAATGAGAAAAACCAGTGTGGACACCTTTTGGTTCAAGTCTGTTGGTCCATATAGAACACATATATGTGCCCTTCAGTATTTGGTTGTTTATGCAACTAAAAAAATAGTTCGAGTTTTGTTTTAACATTGGTTTCTTTTTGTAAGCAAAACATAGGGCCATTTGAGACATAGTCAGTGCAAAGATTTCCACACATAACTGTGCTATCAACAATATTGAATATGATGTCTTACTGGTACTACCTTGTAGGAGATGAAAACACAGAATGCAAGAAATCAAAGCACACAGGACTCATGTTTCCTTTCTATAGGTGTACAGTACCAAGCAGACAGGCAGCAAGTTCTCACCTTTGCAACCTTCCCCATGTCTTCTAACGTTGCCCTCTCATTTGGAAATTCAGAGAATGTTCTCTCAATTTTGGCAATCACAGCATCTATATTCACTTTTTCCTTAGGACATCCTCGAGGAAAATAGAAAGTTGGAATGTTTTGACTAAGTGATGGTGGCAAAGTTTCTTCCTTTTTTGTCTGAACCTAAATAGATAAATACACATTTGACAGTCAGGTACAATGAAATCACATATAATAGTCATCCTCAGATGATTTGAATCTCTTGGTATTTTATGTTACAACACACCTTCAAAAAGATTTCTGATGATAGGCTGAATGAGCTATTTAAGAATGAGAGCACATTGGAAAAATTCATGAGTATTTTCAAAAACTGTCATTTAGAAAGATTTCCAGGATGTTAAAAATTTAAAAACAGCTTCAGTCTTCAACATATCAAGTTTCAAGATTAATACACTAGACAGCTTCTTGGAGACAGCTGAAATAACTCAGGTTATATTATCAGTTTCAGAAGAAAAAACTTCAACTTCTAGCTTAACAGACAGGTCATGAAAGATTTTGCTTTTGAATTATTTCTAGTTTTACAGCTTCAAATTTTTGAGATAAGGGTAACAACTTTGTTACAAATTACCAACCTGTTTTAATTTAGTTATAGTGGAGAATTTTTTTTTAAATGCTTAAAAATGCTCAATTTCATAAAGGTAGTAATTATCAAGAATTTGTGATATACCATACTACTATGAAAAAAGATGACCAGTTACAAAAGAAATTATTTATTTAAATGGATTTAGCTTCAGTAAAGAAGAATTTACCTTGTACTTAGTTTCCAAAATAAAGTCCAATAAGGCAGAGAAAGAAAGATAACAAGCAAAGTAACAATAGAGATATGTGGCAACTCAAAATTAGCAATTAAACATGAAGTCTTTCATCCCAAGACCACTATTCAAATGAAGAAACAACAGTTAATGCTATATGGTGGCTCATGCTAGTGTTAAGTATGTTCAAGACCCTAAATTCCATCTCTCATTTCCAAACAAAATCAGAGGGGGAAAAAACCCCCAAACCCCTCCAAAAAAACCCCAACCCTCACTTTACTCCTTATCGCCTTTGCCAGAGTGCCTGTAAAGGCACCCAGCTTTCCTATCATAACCAAAGTCCTTCCTTAAGACAGTGAAAGAACGAGGTGCTTATAGACAGCAGATTTTAATTCACAGAGTTCCAACCCAGGAGCCTTCACTGGAATGCTACAGATACTAAAAAAAGCCTGAATTAACCTTTCCTTCCCTTCCTCTGCATTTGAGGCAGCATTCCCGTCCACAGCTGCAGAATTACCTCAACTGAGTTACAAATTTTATCTAACAGAGAAAAAAGTTACCTTGAACCTGTGACACCTAGAGTCAAAGTCTATCATTTTTTAAGAATCCTGTAAATTACTTTATGTAAATTACCTGATCATTAGTTCAGTGGTCCAGCTAATGAGGCAACAGCTTAGAACAAGAATGCCACAGGGCATCAAATATCCCTTCCAACCATTATACTTCCCAAAAGTTTGTAAGTCTAAGACAGCAACATTTTATTCTTGAAGTAACATTACCACCATCACTACAAATGATGTATGTCATTGGATTAACACCTTGTTTCATCCTAGAAACCCAGCCCTAGACATCAGCACTTCAGCAGCGCCCTAGCAGTTATCCTATGCAAAAACCAGACAAAAAGACCTATTCCTTGGACTGGAACCACACAGCCAGAAAACTACTGTGCTTTTGAGCACCAGCAAACAAACAGTCTTTTACTGGACAAAATCAAACTCTTACATTCATTCCAAATGAAGCAAGGTTATTTTATTTCCCCTTTTCCTCATTTACAAGATCTGCCTAGATAGGTACTCCCACATGAGCTGCTCAAATTGCCACCGAAGCGGCAGGTGTTCCAGTTCTTCAGAGCTGGCCCATGAGGTGCATCTCATCTGAGGAAAGGGTAAGTGTCAATTACAGACTAACTAATGTCCCCTGAATGTTTCAGGTAACATGAGGTAACTCAGTATTTCAAGAAAACCTAGTGCAGACAGACAAGACATTTTTAAAATCCACAGCTAGAAAAATTTAGAGCCTCAAATTAAAAAACGTTTCTTTTAAAAGGAAAGGTAGGGACAGAGAGAAGATTACATTGGAAAAGGTCCCAAGAGAAGAAGAAAGGCTATCAACAGAACTATTTGTTCATTGGAAACTATTTTTTTCCAAAACTACTAATTTACTTCAGATACCTCAGAGAACACGATAAATTATTTCCATTAGTCCAGAGTAAAAGCTGTTCTTAAATGCATGTGGACATCTCAGTTCAGGATTTGTAGTAAGACCTGTCCTAGTATGTATAACTTCCCTGGGTGTTATTTAAAAGATTTATACAATAAAGGATTGCTTATTTATTTATTCATCATCTTTTTGTCTGTTTTAAACATGTTCCAGACCATGATTATGACGAAGAAGTCAAGCCACAGATTCAGAACTGAAGACAGACATACACATGATGAAAACTGATTTTTCTAAGATGAAAAGGTTACGTTTAAGCACGTGGCATTAAATACTGAAAGCATGACTTTGAATTCAGTATGCTTAGTGTAAGTATATGCAATATTTAATCTGTAACACCGTGTATTTATTTAACTCTAAACCCAAGTATAGAATACAAACCTCTCACAAAATAACTCATCCTATATTGAATGATGTTGCCTATTTCTACATGCTGATTTCTCAAAGTTGGTGAAAGAAGAAACTATAAAAACGCTTCATTCACATCACAAACTGTATGATCACTTCACAATCATTTCTGATAGATTTATTTGATGCCTACATATAGGCATCTAGTGAGAATACCATCTAGGGCACAAACCAAAACGCCCTTAAATATTCCATGTGGTATCCAGCAGCCAGCTCAGAGCACAGCTCTCGCTCTGCATCTGCCACGCGGGTGTTCTGAGCACACTGATGCTTCTTAAATGCCACTAGCAACTTGCAGCTGGACAACTGAATTGTACTGTTAACGTCAGCCCACAGAGGGGTAAGAGCCTGTACCAAAGAAAGAAACAAGTCATCCAAAACTATCAGCTCCAACTAATGCACTATGAAGTTAGTATCACATCTCCTCTCTCTCCTCACCCTCCCAAGAAGGGCCAGGGATTCTTCTCTTCTCTCAGCCTGAATACCATTCCACAACCAAAAGGCTTCTTGTATAACTGAGGCTGCTCTGCTGTATGTGCTCCAATGAAGGAACATGCGATACTAAAAGGGCTCTAAACTTCTTTCTATAATTACAGCTAGTTACTTCTGTAGGTGCACATATTGTATACAGCTGATGAAAAGAGTCAGTTCTGTTATTTCAGGGTAATCAATGTACTGAATGTGTGAGATTAAGCAGTTCTAAAATTAATTATAACTTTAACCAGGGTATTTCTTCATTAACAAGAACTGCTAGAAGTCTGCTAACACTGAATCTTTGACCAGAAAATCTGCAGCAACAGTCCATTATTCTTTTTACACAACTATTCCATTTCAGTGGTCAATTTGACATTTAGAAAGTGATCTACATTTTCTTATGGCTTTAAGTTAAAACTTTTAATACTGGTACCAGTAAGCTAAACTGATGAAAGAGACCGGTTTGGTAAGTGAAGATTTTCCCTGCAACTTGCTGAGAAATAGCATAAACAATAACATGCTTGGAGTTAAGGATAACAGTTCTATAAGCTTGTAAATAATTCATACAAGCAGATGTGTGCTCCAGTGTCAGGACTGAACGGTGCATGAACATTTGAAGTATGTATATGTGAAGTCCAGAATCTGTAGTTAGACTGCAGTGGCAACTTCACAATACAAGTTTTACGTAAAAGAGGATTCCTTGAAAATTTCTTCTCTGTAATAACTTAAACTTATGTAAGATTTGTCTGTAACAGAACTCAAAAAAAACCTTCAACACATAACCACATTTCATTCCTGACATATAGAACCATAAGGACTGTCCACAACTATCCAACACTCACTTGCCTTGACTTTAGAAAGGAGGAAGTGGAAGTTTATATCCCACTAGGGTCACTGTTCAAAGGGCAAACTTCCCATTTTATTTTGCAACTCTCCAGATCCTTTTCCAATTGTTTTCCAGAAGTTGCTTATAATAAAGTTATAAAACCATTACAATTACAATATAGTAGCATATCAGTAGATACTAGAGAACATTGATATACCTCAAAGAGAGAAATTCCATCTCCTTGCTACATAGTCTTCTTCTACCTACTCAGTTAACTTGATTCTAAGCAAGACAGCGAGGATATTAAAGTGAAGTGCCCTTTTTCCTCTCTCAACTCAAAGAAAGAGCTGATGCCATGATGGAGTCATTAAGTGACAGGATATATTTCTGAAATAAAAAGGAAGGGGGTGCTTGTTCCCAATTTAAAACTGTACACTCAGTAAAGTCTAGATCTACATCTGCACATAGAGACTACCAACCAGAAGTACTGAACCCCACAGAGGGCTTGAATATGTGGATTCAAATGCAAGTGAGTGAAACCTCACTTAAAAAGCACTTGCTGGAAAAGGAAACAAGGTAAATATATTTATGAATGTAATATTTTATAGATAGCTTAAGACGCAAGTTCATTGAACTGATTTGGTATTCCCATTGTTTTGACATGACTACAGAAAAAGGTAACTTCATTTAGAAGTGCTGATGCTTTCTAACATCTGACAGACACCAACATTTGTTACACCTACTTCTCTGAAAAAAGCCCATTTTAAATATGTTTACAGAGTTAGCGTTCAGCTCTTGCTGTATTATTTGACGCGAATTTCCACAAGGATGTCCATATTAGAAAGAAGTCAATGGAACACATTCCACAGGGTCAAGACAACAGGACCCCAAAAAATTCTACCTTGCACTTACGCCCAACTTCACATTAAGTTTTTTTACTAAAAAGTGGTACATTGCAATCCCAAACAAAAAGTGGCATTAAATACTGAAAATACCATAAAGATATTTTTACCTATCAAATAGGTAAAAGTTTGGTTCAAATCCTCAGTACATTTAACTAGGGAATTAAAAAAGGAATGTTGCAATATTTTTTCAAATGTGCAATGCCTAAGTTAATTTAGTTCTTCAATAAACTGGGTTTTCTATATCACACTTTATGCTAATCT